AACTATTAACAGTCATTCAATGCACTAATTATCACCTAAAATTATGACCAAGCCAAGTAATTTAAGCCAAGTATGTTCACCTGGAGAAAATACACTAGCTGCCAGTTACAGGGCAGGCAGAATTTCATGGATACAGTATGTTCACCTCCTCAGCAGTTATAATCAAGATAGCTGGACACGAAACGTGTGAGATCAAATACTTTTCTTGCATTCGTCATTCCTAGAAAGCCAGCTTACACATCTGAGGTAAAAAGTTGTTTAAAGTCAGTGAACAAATTATTTAAACTTGGGCCTTATCCTCTACTCATTTCACTTCAAGCCAAGGGGTTTCATGGAAAAGCACGCTGTACCACAGAGGTAAAGCCAGGCTGAAATGTAGAACTGAGTGAGCAGTTGGTTTCGTCATGTGTCCGTGGGAAGTGACAGCCTAGCTACTGACAATAACACATGAGAGGCATGCATTTTGTGCATTTCTGTGTATATGCTTGCCTACATGTACTTGATTTCATAAAGAAAAGGAAGGAAGGAAGGAAGTAAACAGAGTTTACTTTAGAGTTCAAATTCTTTTCCTTCTGGGAGTCTGTAGCCTGTGGGCATCAATATTTCCTCATCGCCCCTGAGGCCCAAAGTGCTACTGCAGACTTTAGTTCAAAAGAGCAGAGCATTTTTGGATTTAAGTCAAGGAAAGGTGAGAGAGACAGTTTAGGCAAAATATTTAAATACAGAGATCAAATGCAGGGTGAAGCTGAGCCTTGGCAGTTTGCTTGGTTCATTTTTATTCTTATCCTAAGACATCTTTTTGCCTCAGTGTCAAATCTGACAGGTCAATCGGTTTGAGACTGATGGGGCAGGTTAATCTCCTATTCTGAACCTCTGGTCAGGACTAGTATGTTTTGCCGCTTGGCCAATCACAGATATGATCAAACTCACCTCGGGCTGACTGGCTTGACTGACTGGCTTGTAACAAACAAGCTTGTGAGGCTGAGCACATAACCAAGAAATGGAAAAACTGCCTGGGTTGCAAAACAACTGAATCATATACAGAAAACATACATATTACAAGCAAAATATCACCCGTGTATCTGCAAGTCATGTGTCACATTGTGTAAATCTGCCTAGTGTAACCATGCATATGTAGCATTAACAGAATCATAATCTTTAAAATCACAGGACTACTAAACGCTGCCACTCATTAAAATCTTGACAGAAGCTGAAGCTGTGACACAGGGAAATGTCACTGCATCAGTCAATTCCCAGCAGTCTCTCTGATGGCTTGTCATCACAATCTTAGCCTGACAGCTTTAAATCGATCGCCAACCCTCCTTCGCCCCTTTAAATCTCTGATGGTGTTACAGAAGACTTGTATAACCTTTGAAGGACATATTTCTTACTTCCTTCTTACCCTTTTGTTTTTATGCCAGGCACATCTAAAAACCAGGAATGTTTGGTGCAGAGCCGATATATGTTGACTCAATCATCTGTTATCAGCTGAAACCTCTTAATCCAGATCGTTTTAATGCGTTTACGTTTGAAAACGCATCGTTTTCTCTCCATTTTGGCGTCCCGTCCACACTGAGATGGCGTTTTTTTGCTCGTGGAAAACGCAGCGTTTTCAAAACGCTCTCGAAAACGCATACATTTGAAAACGGTGCTTTTGCGTCACAGTGTGGACAGCAAAAACGCAGACTTTCTAAAACGATGACGCATATTAGTCATGTGATGCAGTCATGTGACCAATTAAACTAAAATAGTGGAGGGCATTATACAGCAGTTGTTTTGTTTGACAGCCCTATTAAAGATTAATATCAGTCTGTACGTGCTCCAGACAGCTTTTCTTCAAATTCTTTACTTCTCACTCGTTTTAGCAACGTTGTACTTTTGTGTTACTCGCAGCAACAACTCCACCTCATTGTTAGTCCATTTAAAAAACTCGGTGCTTTTCCTCGACATTTTGCCGCGACGTTTCAAAGAGCCGGAAAGTAAATAAACGGCAGACGGAAATGAGGCAGGTCGAATCTTCTTGCATTCCACGCATGCGCAGTACTGGAACGTAAGCGTTTTCGGCCGTTTCAATGTGGACGCACAACTCTGTGAAAACGACTGAAAACGATAGTGTGGACGCAGAGCGTTTTCAGACTTAACGACGTTTTCAAATCTATCCGGGCTAGTGTGGACGTAGCCTTAGTCACTTGCCCATTCTCTGGACTTTGTATCCTATTAGGTTTGTATCCTAAAAAGCCTATATATTCCATTAGCTTTAATATCTTTAATTGTTTTGGGTAATATACCCAGATATTCATGCTTTTTAGCTCCATAATGCTCATTGTGCTGAATGCTTTAACCGACAGATACAATCAGGTATAATATGATACGGCTGCAGTTGCTATGGTGCCAACCTTTCTGCCATTCTGACCACAGCACATTGCTTTTTTTCACACGCACATGCATCACTGGCTGCAAAGCACAGTCCAGTGGGTTTGTCTTAGCAAACACCCACCTGGCTATGGTTGAAAATGCATGACAACGAAGCTATCAAATTCACAGCCAGATGCTCGGGAGAGGAAACATCAGCTAAAAGCCAACAATCAAAAGTGGAACGTGAAAAGCTGTGTTCAAATTTGAATATTAACGACGTGCTTGCATGAATCTCAAAAAGCGTGAAACCGGAGCTACTCCCGGGTGTGGACCACAAATGAATCAAACAGGCACCAGAAAAACAGGCAGCTATGACAGTCTCCATCCTCACCTGTCAATGTCACCCTGCATCTCTTTGCTTCCTCTTTGGGATACGTCTCGAGAAGAAGCTGCATCTGAGGCTCGGCCGGTGTTCCGTGCATACAGATGAAGGCTGCCGTCTGTAAGGTATCTGTGAGGGGAGAACAAATTACAGGTATGAACGTTTAACTTCAGTTTGCTTTAGAAAGTTATTCTTTTTTCTTACACTTTAAGGCCCTTGTTTAAGTGAAGAAGAAGCAAATTATGTCAACTAAACATAAAGGAAGATGCTACCTTGGCTGCCTGATGGCTAATCTGAATAATGAACATGAAGACTGTGTGTGGATTTTGCAAAGTCGGTATAGAGAAGCGAGTTTGTGTCTCTGTGTACCTGACAGTGAACGAGCGGTAAGATTTGAGGCAACTTCCAGATAGCTATCAGACACGGCTGGTAGAACACGGGGGCCATTAGCGTTGAGTTAATTAAGCTAATAATTCAGCTAATCACCTTTCCCTCCCAACATGTTGTTACATTTTCTGCTCTGTTCTTCTTCTTTAATCTTGCAGATACCTTGCTACATCACACCTCATCCTTACCATTCCCTCACAGTTTTCTCTTTACAGCATATCTTCTTTTGAGAGTGTGTGCTCACATGATTGTGTGGGTGAAATATGAAAAGCCTTTTCTCCTACGTGCTTAACTCATTTATTGCTGTTGAGCGAATGAAGGTCAGAAGCCTGCTGCTGTAATGACTTGCAGAAGACACAAACTCATCCATTCTCACTCAGGTAATCTGTCAGTGTCGTGACTCAAGGTTCACATAAATGTATTACTTGAAACATCCCGTGTGTGGTTTTACTATGAAAAAGTATACATAGCCTTGCTGTATGACAGTAAGCTATTTGTATTAATGTGCAGAGAAAGGCAGGTAAGGCCTTGGTGAGTGTATGAATACAAACTAAGCATGAATTTCTGCACTGAAATGGAAATCTGTCACATGTTAGCAAACAAATGACCTTTAAAGTTTTACTGAGTATAAATGATGTGGGGCTGATATTGTGCACTTAAGATATTTCTTCTTTATACAGCAAAGCATAGTTATGTATTTAATTTACATGGTGGTGCAACATGTTTCAAATCTACGAGCTCTGTGTTCAGGGCATAAAAAGGCTGAGAGCTACATTATTCAGGGGGGGGAATAAATGTAGGAGGCACAACTAAACAGAATGCTGTTTCACACCACAGCGTGGCACAGAGGGATCAGCTAAAACCAACTTATTTTGTCTATAAACATCAAAAATTCATTCAGTTACTGAAATCACAAATAGCCCTAACATAAATATCCAAACACTGTCCTGCACTGGTCGACATTTTTTGGGGGGAGGGTTACTCCTGTCGTGTCTTAAAGACTGAAAATGAGAAAAAAATAGCCTGGCTCTCTCCACAGGCTTACTACTTAAATGTACACAAACCTGGAGGGGTCTGAGTGCCCACTGTAGCGCCCTGTGGTGGTGCCTGCGCCTGTTGTGCTCGCCCTGGGCGCAGTGTAGCCACTGGTCATCGAGGGGGCGTCACCAGCCTGGAGACGTGGGGTTTGCGATTGGCCCAGACGCCAGGACATGGGGGAGGAGCGTGCAGCAAGGGCAGGTATACTCCGCCCATTCACCTCAGTGGTTACTGTCGTGTCGAAGGTTGTTTCTAATGTACTGTGGAGAAAGAGGGGTAGAGACATAGATATACATTAAAAATATATACATTAAAAATGTTTTTCCCATCAGAATGATGTTTTTGAAAAGAGTTTTGAAGATTGCTCGGTGTACAGACGGTCTTGGGGAAAACGTCTGGGCAAAAATCACAAGTCTAAGACGCTGAAGTAATACCAAGTACACGCCTGTGCAAAGAGCAAATCAATCAGGTGAAAAGATCCGTCATATTTTCAGTAGACAGCATTCTACAGTTGAGTGCCACTCCCTTCATCTTACATGCCATTTTTCTAACACCGTGCTTGTTTGTGTGTGTGCGTGCGTGCATGAGTGTGTGTGTGTGTGTACACATGCATTTAAAAGTGTGTGACCTTCATAAAGTGCTGTTTCTTCCAGCGTTTTAACTTGAAGGGGGAGGAGAGAAGAAAGGCTCCCAGGAGAACTTATGTCAGAGCATCACGGTACATCACACAAAGATGGAAATGGAGGGAGGGAGACAGCTCTGCTTCCGCTCAACTATCAAGTGGATTTGATAGAAAATAACATTTGGATTAGGTGCCCTAACACGGCTAAAGAAGGGAAATAAACCTCTTCAAAACACATCTGCTAATGTCACAACAATAAGCACCCGCCAGTGCATCTAGTCATTGGCAGGTTTGACTATTTTGAAGACAATCTGAATAATTTGGAACGCTTGCTGTAATATTCCCAACCCATCTCATGAAACCTGTATTAAATCTCATTGTGTTAATCACTAATGACAGAAAATGCCAAAAAAAATTGATAAAGAGTACTATAAGAGTACAAGAGAAAAAGACAAAAGAGGCACCATGATAATAAGTGAAATGGCAGAAAATAAGAGCCGCCAGCACATGTAATGATGCACAGGGACCAAAAAGCACTGACTCACTCCCATGACCATCCTCCACTAACTGAGGAACTGCTGCTTTTCCCCTCCAAGTCTTTACCAGGATCTGCATGTAAGAACTGTCACATTTGAAAGATCAGGATGATTTATTGCAGGGAATGAAAGCAAAATCCAGCCTGAAACTTTAATTATTTATGTGAAGTAACAGGATAATAGAAGTAATGAGTCAAAGTGACTGGACACCAAGCCTACAGCATATGTGCACTCTCAGTGAGAAAAGTGGCAACTCACTTGAGCTCTCTCTACTGGGGAAAAGAGTGCACTGCAGTCAAATAATGAGAGAACGGACAGACCTGACATAAAACCAGGCATCTCTGACAATCTGTTACTTTAAGGATAAGCTGGTGATGTGCATTCCAATCACAAACATCCTTCTGTGGACAGAATACTAGCATGACATTGAAATGATGCACATAACAAAAGTGGTAGCAGGCGCTACAAATCATCTGTTTCAAGGACAGGATATAATGATTTTATGATCAGACACCAAACAAAAGCATTATTTGCATATTTATAATATAATAAAATTTTGCATAATTTCTTGCATATTGGCTTACTGACTGTAGCACATCACGCAAGTGAAATGCAGGATAGTAGTAGGAGTAGTAGGAGAGGCATTGGCCTCTGCACACTGGTCTCATTAGGTGACAAAAGCAGTGACACTTTAAAACAGCGCCTCACACATAACAGTGTTAGAGATGTGAGAACAGTGTGTGTGTGTGTGTGTGTGCTTAGCGAGAGGACAGAACGCTGCACCCCTGAGATGCCAAGTGCCAACACAAGAAGGACAGCAATGCCACCCATATTCACTACACATCTTTATCAACACCTCCGGAGATCCACACACATGCTCACCAGTGACGTAGGTGATTCAATGTTATAGTGTCTAGCTAAAAGAGAAAGAATGCTTATCTTACAAGCCATCACACCCAAATATGGAAATCCAAAAATCAATTTGCCACAGTATAGAAATCAAAATCATTTAACCAGTCATACACAATGTGGCCCACTTAATCAGCTTATCTTTATCTCCAGGCAGCAGAGAGAGAAAATGAGAAAGGCAGATAAACTGAGAGCGACTCTGCATGTAGGTGTTCAAATAAATAGGCGT